AGATGTTCTTTAATGTTTTACATCTTCTTATTGGATAGAGAAGCAGCTAGAGAAGTAGCATCAAGTTGTGCTCTATACTGAGCATTTATACTTAAGAGGAAGAGGAGGAAAAAGGCTTGTGTATGTCAGGCAATCAGAGGGCATACTGCTTAAGGGTAGTCCAGTCTCTGCATATGTAATGGATCTGGTCTGAGTCTGTCATCCTTATGTCAATAGTAGCAGCTTTCTCTTGTGCTGGGAGGGAGGGTAAACGCCTAGGAAATGTGCTGGGAAATGTGCTTCTGCTGGAGGGCTTTGTGTGTGAGGAAACAGTAAGGAAAGGAGGGAGTAAGAGGGTTTATGCAAGTGCATCTGTGCTTCACAGCAATTTCTATGGTCTCTCATCGCTCCCTCTTGCCGATGTGGCAGCAGCAACGAACTTTGCTTAGTTTAGCCTGTGGACAGGAGCAAGCAGGTGCACTAATTATTATTGCCTGTTTCACTAGGGACGTGATACTGGGTTGGAGCTACCAGTGACTTGGAGAGTGACTTTTAGGCAGCCATGAAGAAATAAATTTAAGAAAGATATTCCAATCTGTAAGTAGAATAAATTGCACCTTCACACTCACAGTCTGATGTAAAAGCTTCATAGTCAGTAATGATGACTGTGAGGAGTTTGTGTCGTGCAGTTCCTTGGAGATCTTCCCTCCTCATTCCGCAAATTCAACAAGGCTGTACCTAAGTCAGTAGCTTGGTTTCTGTTAACTCAGGAGTCCCTGTCTCATCTCCTGAAAAGTGCAAGCATGTTTTAGTGTAGACAGCACATTTCAGAGTCAGAAGCAGAGGACCCTGGCTAGCACCCTGTCCCTCCACCCTTTACCTCTCACCCCACAGCTTGCCTATGGGGCACAAACCTGATACTGGTGTCTTGCAGCAGTGAAGCCAACTGATGGTCCTAGCAGAGAACATCAGGTTTAGAAAAGTGGAGAAAGGCATGAACAAGATTAAAAAAAGGGAATTTAAACCTAGGTATTAAGAGAAAATCCTATTCTGTGAGGGTGGTGATATACTGGAACAGGTTGTCCAGGGAGGTTGTGGATGCCCCAACCCTGGCAGTGTTCAATACCAGGCTGGATAAGTCCTTGAACAGCCTGCTCTAATGGGAGGTGTCCCTGCCTATGGCAGAGGGGTTGGGACTAAATGTTCTTTAAGGTCCCTTACAACCCTTACAACAATCTGAGTCTTTGAAAGAGATAAGGGCAGAGCAAGGGCTTAAGATGAGGCTTACAGAGCGAAGAGTTGAACTGATGTGTATAGAATCCCAAGACATGAAGACAGGAGAAATAGTGGCACATGAACAGGAGGAGAGATAAATGACAAGCATCAGTTTGCAAAGGAAACAATGTGACAGTAAGATAAGAAAAGAGGTGCAAATGTTCTCTGTATAGAAGTGAAGCTTTTCAATTGGCACTGATGATTAGGAGTGGAAGTCGGGTTGGACTAAATGGGCGAAGGGCAAAGGTGATGTGAAATCAAAGGCAAAAATACTGTTTTGTTTTAAACACCTCATAATTTGAGGATACCCATAATAATTATTTGCCTTAGTCTTGTGTTGCCAGATATGCTAGTTACTTGGGAAGAAAGCTCTTACTTGTCACAAATCCAGTAAATTAGTGAAACAGAAACTAAGGTGCAGTTATCGTGGTTGCAGGGTGTAGTGAATCATGCAACTCATGAAAGAATTAAACTCACAAATTTTGGATATGCATTATTAAAGAAAAGTCTAACACGCTGATAAATGAATAATAAAAGAATAATTCATAAGGTTTTTATCCAGTTTCCTGTGAAACAGGGCTCATAGGAATGTGCTGTCTGTTTTGCTCTTCAGTCTTTTCCTGTACTAGTAGCTTTTGATAGCCACTTTTGAATTCACTTGCAAAAAAGTGGAAGGTCAGTAATACCTTCAAGTAGACTTTAAAATCAGTAGGTGGCTGGAGGAGAGATCAAGTTAGTATGCTTCAGGTAAGCCGAACACTGACATTATATATTCATTCTGGCAACAGCCAGGTCGACAATCCACACATCCTTCCCAGTTACTGTCACAGCATCGCTCTGTCTTGCTCTGCATCCTGAAAGCAGGGGAAGACAACTGCAACAGGAGTGTGGGAGGAGGGTTAGGGACAAATGATGCAGCGCCTGAACAGTGAACCAGGCTGCATTATTTTCTTGTTTCTAATGGTATTTTTTTTTATAATCTAATTTTCTGACTGCTCTTACCTGAGAATCCCTGAAGCACATAGATGTTGTTTCATCTACACCATTAAACAAGCCCAAGGGATTAGAAGATTTCTGTTTCTTTTTAACATTGGATAGATTTGAGAGCTGAAGATGCACTTTTATCTTTAATGAAACTGCACGCTATTTGAATGTTTGAATGTTTCCAGAGTTTAATTAGCAATACATGAGCATTGCCCTACAGCAAAATCTTACCTCTGTTTGCTATTTACAGATTTATTGCTTATATGCTATAAATTTGTTCTGTATTAATTCAATGCATACAGACTGTGAGCATAATTTTTACCTTCTTTCTTGTCTCTTATTTTCTTAAAATACAGAGGTCCTCCAAGATACAATGTGAAATCCGTCCTCTTTAATAAATCAGCATGATTTAAAAGATTAATAATAATATTAAATATAATTATAGTAAATTTTCTAAAACAAATTACTATAAAATATTTGTATAATAAGTATATCTTGAAAAAGAATATTTATTAAATAATAATAAATTCACAGGTGGGATTATTCAGTGACATTCATATTCTAATCTCAAGTACTCTAAGTAGCATCCTTAGAAAATATGTATTTGCTTCTCTTAATAGAGGTTCAGGCTTTAAATTTGAAGATCCCCTGTTATCTAGTCCCAAAAAAATTCCAACTAGAAAATGGCAACTCTTGCCAAACCAGAAAGGATATGGAAATTTTGTGAAAGATGCTATTTTATTCATATTTCAGCTGCTAGCATTGATAACTGCACCAAAAAAAATTCATTGTTTCACTATCTGTCAAAAAAATTTTGAACAAATAGAAGAGAGGTTAAAAAAGAACAAAAATTATGATATTTTTGTGTTAATATGTACCTTTACTGTGATCTTTTGCATAGGTAGCATTGAAAAATGTCTCTGGATTGTCTAGTTTACTTGCTTGCCAAAGGCAAATTAGCAAATATACTTATTGCTATACTCTGAAAATGTAGAACTGTAAAATATGTATCCCTCCTTAATTTATATATAAAAAGTAAAAGTCTGATTTTCATTCATATATCTTCAAGGCACATGTAGGTGCAAGCATTACATTATCCTTTCATATCATTGTAAGTGTTAAGAAATCTATTTTTATCTCACCTTATCTCACATTTCATCCTTATAGGATATTTGGTATATATATTTATGAGTGATTTTAATCTCAGAGGTTTCAAAGCTATATTTGTACAATTTATGAAATCTCTTTAATAGGAGTTTACAGTATCTCTGCCTGCAGATTTTATTCTGAATGTGAGACTTGTTTGTCTTCTGTAGTTTTCTTTTGATATTTGTTTTGGGATTACACGCAGCAGTGAGACGATTTAGAGAAAAGATTTATTAAAGATTGATTATTATGGCTGTCTCATGTTGAGCAGATGATAACCAAGCTGGTCCTACTCTTCAACTGCAATAGGCCAGTAAAAAGGCATTACATCAGGCAGGAAAACAGTAACTGTAGATGTGAACCGGCCTAATTAAGTGATTTTACAGCAAAAGTTTTCAGTCCACCTCACTGTCCACTTGCGTGGCCCAAAATTTTGTCAGTTACAATTTTGCAGGAGACAGTGTTGAAACCCATGGTAAAATTAAGGTAAATGTTAATAAATTCAAGCTGACTGCTGCCCGGACCACCTTCCTCCTTTTCACGTGTTTGGAAATGTTTTCCCGGAGGATTCATCCCATGCAAGCTTGTAAATGGCAGACAAGTGTTTTTGTTCATATATATGCATGTGTATGTGTGTATAAACATGTGAGCTGGCTAGAGGTATAATCTACGTTGTTAATAGGATGCAGTGGTCTGATTTTGAGTGGTGAAGACATCACAGTTATTCTTAGACATAAAATATTTGGTCAGAATATCCTTTTATCAGTCAAAAATACTCAAAGAGTTATTGAATTTTAATTGTGTAAGGATATGCATTTATATGAAGATAGAACTTATAGTAATTGTATTTAATGTGTCTTTTTCTTCTTTGAAAGAACTTTTATATATAAAAATTACAGTCTCTTCCAGTAGTGTTTTACAAAATAATGTAGTGTGCACTTTGTAGAGCAGTAAGTTTCATTGCATAATATCTATTCATTTCAGGGATCAAAGAAAACAGTTACATTTTTTTCTTAATAGATAAGACAATGGCAAACCACCCCCCCACCTAATATAATTCTCATTTAAGTTCACATCAGTCCTGGTTCAGGAGAAATGCATTGTTAAAAAACAATATGAAAGTGAATTGTTTGAATTTGAAAATATAGTGTGTCTTCTAGCAGTTAGCATTTAATTAGGTTTATTTCTGATAGCTTTGTTGACAGAAGACCATAGTACATGTCTTAGCATAAGTGTTTGAATTTCAAATAATTTGTTCATTTGTCTACCTGTGACAAACAGAAGTCCTGCGTGTGCAGAGTAGTCATCAGCTTTTTTTGTTAGCAGATGGGCTTGATGACATCTAATGCTGAAAAGGTGTGTCCTGGAGAATTCACACTTTTGGACTAATTTGTTCATATGCCAGTTTCCTGTCATATGTCTTTTGAGAACAGATGTGACTTTGTCGTAGATCTCATATGTACGTAACTGATAGAGTTTTAAATACTCTAAATTTTCAATTTTGATTTTTTTCTTCAAAGTTTTAATATGTAAGTCCCATTTGTATTTAAGGCAATTGCAGTAAAAAAGACGGAGATGTATTTTGAAAGATTAAATTTACTGTTATTTCTCTTTAGTTTCAGGCACTGCATTCTGTGTCACAAACACTGGTTTTGCTAGGGAAGAACAACGTATTAAGAAATTCTTTAATATCACTTCTACTCTCAGAAGTACGTCAGTTTGCTGAGCAGCTGTTACAGGCCCACCAGGTACTGTCATCTTTTCTTTTGGAGAAGGGCTGAAGAGTGGTGTTGGGGAGTCTTTTGGCTGTATCTCTTTGTTTCTTAAAACATAATAAATGCATTATGCTATAGAGTATGCAGATTCAAGAACCTGGAGAATGCTAGGACCTAAATTAAACAGCGAATTCAGAAAAAAAAAGGGGGGGATAAAGTGAAAGAAAATGAAAAGTGAAATTATCAGACTGTATAATAAATAGAATCAATAAGTTTTAAGACCATGCTATATAATTTCAAAAAACACTTGAAATAATTAGTTAGAACACTTAATATAATGTGTAAATTATTGACTGTGCAGGCAATACAACTTGGGGATCCACCTGAACAAATTATTTCTGTCTCTTGCTCATGTAAAACTAGAAAGACCATTACTTCATTTTATTTCATAATTAGATTTCATGTTTTACATTATAATATTAATTTTCATGATGCAAAAGTTATTCAACACATAAGATTGTATTTAGTTTGTTGCAATGAATAGAAGGTAAGGAGCAGAATAGAACTTGCGGTAAAATATATATTTAGGTTAAATTTTTCGGTAAACTAGAGTTTAAAAAAAGAGAGGAAAAGAGAAAGTGAATGTTCCTTTAACATTTGAAGAAGAGATGTGTGAAATAAATAGGTTTTATAGATTTTTTGTGTATTTGTATGTGGTGGGTATGTATTTTATGCAAAGTGTTCAGCCTCACTTGGGATTATGACTTCATTGTATACTATCCTAAAACAATCAATAAAAAGAAAGCATGCAGCTTTTTATCTGCTGGCCAATAAATTTACTGATACATACAGAAAACATTTATCGTAGATGTATTTAGTGGTGTTCGGTTTAACAAATGTCTTAAGTGTTGCTCAAGAACTTTATTATTTTTCTCTCTAGGATACGATATGGTAGTAAGTTTGGACTGCTGGGGGAGAATATATAATTTCCAACAATAATTTCTACTATGTTTGAATCATATTCTAAAAACAGTTCAGAAAGCAAATTTTGAAAGAATTAGACAGAGAGCTGTGTCTTATTTTTAGTCACTGTTAGCATACAAGACATTGATGACAACCAAAAGTCAATAGACTTAACAAGTGTAAGAATAGGGAAGTGTAATTAGAAACAATAATTGGGTTTTAAGTTTAAAGAAGTTGTTAGTTTTTAACATTATTAAATCTCACCTGTTTAACAGAATTAGTCATCCTTCCTGTTAGAGTTTTTGCCAGTGGCAGCACAGAACCTTTCAGTGATGTCAAGTTTACAGTAAACATTGCACTTTACTGACTTGGTTACTATGATACTACTTAAACTTGCGTACTGTAATTTTAATTATTGCTTTTGTATTTGGTGAAGCCTTAGGAGCTGTGTGTCTATCTGTAGCTGACACTTTGTAGGACTTTGAAAAGCTGCAGTTCATGTAGGAAAAGTAACTGAAGTTCTGGTTTGCTTAGTTTGCTGTGAAGTCAGTGTTTTTAAAGTTCATGCATTCTTGCATTTAGTCCAAATAGATGTATTGTGTTCATTTAAAAACCCTTGTACATTCTGTATGTGATAATATAATATGGAAATATATCACAATTGGACTCCAAACTCTGGTATTTCTGATGGTCTGATTTACGGACCTGCTTTTAAGTGTTTCTGACTTTGTGTAGCATTATTTTTGGTATGCACAATTCTAAAAAGGGTTAAAGTATTTTTCCTTGTTTTGTAATCAAATCTAATGATACAGTATCAGTTTGAAATATACAAAATGATAGCTTTAAAAAAATGCTTCTTAAATACTTAAATTAGAAAAGATAATACTTCATTAGCTGACAAGTATTCTAATTGTGTTTTGTTACTTAAGCAACGCTGCTGTTAATTGCAAAGGTGTTTCATGTGTTCCATTGAAAACAGTCAAATTAGGGACTCTGAATTTTAGTTCTGATTAGAGGTGTGCAAATATATGGGTTTTGTTTTGCTTTGTTGTATGGTTAGTTTTTTGTTGTTGGCAGATGGGAGAAATAAAGAAATCATCTGAGGCATGATTTCAGGTTAGCTTGCAATTGAGTTTTGAGCATTTGATGGAAAACAGAAAAAATACCTTATTCAACTGAGCAAATTTCTATGTATTTTTAATAGTAATAATTATTTTTATAATTATTTATAATTATAATTTTTATAATTTTTATAATTTTTTTTTAAAAGTTGAAGATGGTTTTCCATACTGACTTGGATTGAAAACAAAATCCCTTTTAATTTTTTCAATGAATCATCTAGATAGCTCAAAACATTTTCATTTTAACTTTCTCCTTAAGGCATGAGCTAAGATCCAAATACTTTCTCAAATGTGTGCATTCCAGAATATGCAACTTTATATTCCACCATTTCTTCAATGGAAAGTGTGCTCAGCTCAAACCCTTGTGATTTTGTGGATACATCCTTTGATAAATATTGAAAATTTTTTACTTTAGAATTCTGACTGATTTTAGAGAGTTTGTGTCCTCTTGGAGCATGCTTATCTGTCTACCCACCATTTCAAAAAAGCTTCCTATGTTCCTAGCTTTACAAATTAAAAAATTAAGCTGACTATATGAGAGTGTATCTAATAAACTACAACAGAAAACTACAGAGATTATTATGAATATTTTAATATTCTCTAATTAGCTATATCCATTAATCTTACAATATGACAAATTAATGTCAAATATATGAATAATATAATTTTGTATACAATATTCCCACATGTTAATATAGAAAATTAAATAAGGAACATATATAAACAGTGTAGTTATCCTGATGTTCCACCCAGTTACAATTAATTTTATGGTAGTAAACTCTCAGGTCAGTTAGTAGTTTGCTTAAATTCTTTCAAGTACTTCATCATGTGCTTAAAGTAAAGCTCGTACTTCAGCACTTTGCTGACATCAGGATGATGACTTCTAGGCAAAAGCATATTAATATAAACTCAATTGGATCCCTTAAATTTTACAGATGTTGGATATGGACTTTTCAGTTTTATCTATAATAGGAACTTTTCATGCTTTATAAATACAGTTTATAAGAATACAATAACTAAACCTTATCTCACTATGGAATGGAAATCTTCTGATCCCCAATTGGATTTCTACTGCAGACCACACAAAATTGTAAGATACTAAGATTTCGCAGTGATATTGTGGAAGATGGATTATTTTTCAAATGTTGAGTTCCTCACCATGATAGCACATCTTACTTTATGATAGCTGTTTCAAAGACAGAGGACCAGAAATGGAAAGCACTTATTGGTTTACTGCCCATTTCTAACCTCCCAGGTGATAATTCCAAGAAATATGAGGAAGAAAATTAAAAACAAGAAAATAGATGTGAAAATAGAAAAAGGAAGATGTACTGTGAGGTTTCGGAAAGATCTATTATTCAGTAATTACTGATACATAGCTTGTCTAGCATTACATTTTCATATCACATTACTTTCTTTATACTATTTTTCCTTTTTTTAAACTTTAAAATATTTCTATACAAAAGCCATACACTGAATAGTTGTGGGTTGGTTTTGTGTTTATTTAAAACAAAGACACCAAGCTATAGGTAATTCTTAATATTATATGTAAGTGTTAAGTTCAAATCCAAAACCAAATGTGGGTGCTGACTTCTAACCTGAATGAGTGGTGCAGTTAGACTTCAACACAGGATTTACAGAGTGAGATTCATCCTCTTTAGATGTTTGCAGTAGAGATTGCTGTTTTTGATCCGATTTACTTACTTTAGTTTTCCACGATAGCCAACAGAAGGAAAAAGTAATTTCTTGTCAAACCTGTGTTGTTGTACATAACTATGATAGCTGTTCTCAGAGTTGTCTGCTTCTCACATTTGGCTATGAGAAAGGAAATTACATTGATCAGCTGAAATATAGATATTCATGTTGAAGGCATCCAAAGTTAAGGGATGAAAATCCTATAATATCTCTATGAAGATCTCTTTTTGGATTATCTGGGGTGTTATTCCGGGAAATGCCTGATCCTACAGAACAGTTTTAATGGGTAGTCATGCAAAACATACTCTTATCTGTACACTGTAAAACTTAAGTAACATTATTAGATGTTTCTAGCAAGTTATATTTTAGTTAGAGTAATTAAAAAGTAAACTTATTTCCCAGGTGTTCAAATTCTTTAACTGTACACAAGAGATTGATGATTGATGGTGATTGAATTTGCAGGATGTGTGTATTGAAGCTTCTTTTAAGATGCATTCCAGCTGTGGTGTGTGTGATGTGGATGCTTCTCCATAGGGAGCTCTGTTAAGCTAGCAGTCTATGAAGGCAATATATTGGGGGAAAAAAAAAGGACAAAGAGGAGCATGGATGTACTACGATTTTGAGCACTTCCTGGGATTTTTGTTGCCATTCATTACTGCCTAGCAAACAGTCATGTCATTAAAACGTACAACCGAACAGCAGCAGCTCCATTTAGAAGCAAATGAAGGGCTGAAATATTCCTGGGGCTGGAGAGCCCTTTTTTTTTTCTAGCTGGCAAGTTGGAGGCACTGCCAATGTCAATTGATAGTCAATTCATTGGGAAAATGGAGTTTTCCTGGAGTTGGGTTCAGCTGAGTAACAGAACGGTGCTAAGAGCTGAGCTGTAAAGGTCAGGGCTTGTGCTATGATCCACCCCAGAAGGAGAGGGTAACCCTGGTTCTTGTTAGCAAATCCCTTGGGGTGGATTAGAGTGAAATGACACTGAATGATCAGTGTTTGTATATGTGTATATATATATATATATATCTGTAAGGTTTATTTTAGAAAAATTTGGTTGCAAAGGAAAACAGGTATGTAGCCATTTTGATTATTATTATCTATAATAAAATAGCAATATAAAACCATAAAAATAACAGTTAATAAATGTATAAGGAAGAGAAAGAAAAGATAAAAGTAGAAAGTTATATCATCACCACCCACTGGATCCAGGGATGAGACTTGGTAGTTGTAATTTTGATGCCTGTTGATTAAAGT